AAATAAAATAATAAAATAAAATAAAAGAATGGTGCCTAGGAAGAAAAATCAACGTACACCTGGGACCTGCCAGGAGCAAACTGGTGGATCCAGAACTGAACCCCGTGGCCTGGGAAGGTCCACTGTTAGCGCTGGAAGACGACTTTGCATTGCTAGAACCCAGAGCGATTCCTGGGGAGGATGGGCCACTCTGAAGCAGCCCACCAGACTCATAGGAGGGGTCTGCATCAGTGTGCTGGATAACGGAATGACAAATGTCAGCGTTACCACAAAACAGTGAGTGGGGCAGAGATAAACTACTGTAATCAGAAACCCTTTGAGACTGAAGAATGTTTTTAGGAGAAAAAGGTCTCTTATGACAAGGGTAAGGATTATATTCACAAGTGGATGAAATTTAGACATGTTATAAGGAGAAAGTGACCTGATAGTTTTTTTGACTTAAATCAAGTATTTGTTGCAAAAAGTTGGTTATGTATGCATGATAAAGATTATATGTTATTTTTAAATCATTTATTTTAAAATTACAAAGCACCAACATTTTACTTTGGTGAAGTGCTACAGTCAATTCTTTTAAAACCATTAACACCAAAAGGCTTTCCCAGTCTCTCCCTCTACATGAGACGGGGCTGTCAGCCAATGCTGAGGACAAAATGATTAGATTAATAATACATAAGAAAGGAAGGACTTAAAATAGCATATCCGTGGACAGCATGATTATAATCCTAGGAAATCAACAACAAAATACCATCAATAATGAATGAATTTAGAAAATCTGTAGGCTCTAAGGAAGAAAAAAAAATCAACTGCATTCTTATCCATTAGGATGCTTAAAGCAGAAACCTCAGTAAAGAGAAAAGCAATTTAGAAACACTACAAAATATTTAAAATTTGTTATGTAACTTAGCTCAGGATAGTAAAGATTTAATTAGGAAAAATATCAATACCTAATAGGATGAATAGAAGAAGTTATACGTAACAGTCAAGAAATTGCTAATTCCTGGTTGAGAAGTCAGTCCTTTATCATAATAAAGATAGTACTTCCCAAGAAATACAAGGATTTAATGTAACACGGATTTGAAATTCCTGCTGAATATAATTTAGAATTTGACAAATTAAGATCGGAATTTGCCTAGAAGAGTAAGTATACAAGAACACCAAATATGTAGGTCTTAAAATATAACAACAGCAGGCTTATCCTATCAGATTTTTAAATATCTTACAAAGCAACAATGAACCAATGTTTATGATATTAGGAGATAAACAAAGGTACTAATCAATATATTTTTAAGGTTCCAGAAATAAATTGAAACAATAAAACTCTTAAGAACTGGAAAGAAAGGGGGAAAAATACTAGTTAATAAACATACAAATGGTGGGATTCATTCATCATTCTATACCATATACAAGTCAAAGCATTAAACATAAATCAAACAAACAAACAAACAAACTGGAAGAAAATAAAGGAATAATTATCCAAGATATGGGGGAAAAAAATTTATACCTACTCAGAGAAGGATGCATTCAATACATAAAGCCAAAGCGTTTAACAAAACAGAAGGCAATACAAAAAATACTTGAAGGATACAACATATTTATAAGATCAATGTACAGATTCTATTTAATCAATACGCAAAGGAGAAAAACCCAGTTTATACACAGGAAATACAGACAGTAAGCCCAAACATCCAGGCTCACTGGCTTTGGAAAATTAAAACTTTAACTCTTAGCTATATATTAAAGTAGCAAAAAAAATTAAAGTAACCACATTGATGGGGCTTATGGAAACACGGTACACTAATAATTTGCTAAATATACTATAAACTTGTTCTGTGTTTCAAGAAGTCTTCACTATGCAAGAGCTATAAAATGTTCAGTCCTTTCAATGCAGTAATTTACTTCTGAGAAAGATATTCTGAAGGCATAACCCTAAAGGTCATAGTTTTTGTAAAGAAGTTTATATTGTTATTAACAATCATGGTGGGGAATTCGAATAGCCCCAAAACCTAGGGAGCAAGTCTCATGGGAAGTCCAACAGGAAAGAGACTCACTCGGAAGAAAGAGGACAGGAGACAGTAGGGAAAATACAGGGAGAAAGGCTAGTGACTTACACGGTGCCGTTTACTATTTGTCTATTTCTCAAGTTTCAAGGGAAGAGGGGTGCTTTGGTTCGTATTTGAGCACTGGCGATGGGAAGATGCTGACATACTGCACCGATCTTCAAGGACGGTAACTGTATTGTCTAAGCTCTAGTTTCCTGATTAACAACAGCAGAAAACAAAGAAGGAGAATTGCTATAAAGTGGCCAGAACTTGAAGTGACCAAGTATCTGTGAAGACCAAGCACACTACCCGCTTTGGGACCCGGAGAAAGGTACGGTCAAGAGGATTATTGCTGGACCACGGTCCACAGACAGTCCCTTCAACACCAGAACCCCTGGGAGAGGGTGCGCCCCTCAGCCCAGACTTCTGCCCTTGAATAAGGCTCACAGACCCAAAGACCAAGTGTGTGTCGGATTTCGTGTGCCTCTACACACAGGTGAGTATTTAGAGGAGGGAAGAGAGAAAAGAGATGACGGAGACTTCGTGCAGGGGACTGAATTTTAAGACCCTTCAGGATCCTGGAAGGAGCCCGAGCAATGCTGTTGTCTCCTCACTTCTCAGCACCTACCTAGAGCTGAAAGAATCCCAAACTCAAAGTTATAGCCAATTCTGTGACACTTGAGATAATCACTGTTGGCCAGTCAACATTCTGAAGTCTCTGGCTTGAACCATCAAACCTCCATCTGCACAAGTCGCTCTATTTCCAGTCTCTTTGACGTTGAAGGACTTACTATTTTACACAAGGCTATACTGTCACAGGGTGCAAATTAACCAACAAACTGACTGGTGCCCCCAGAAAAGAACAGCAGTGGACGAAGCACAACAAACAGCAATGTGAATGGACGAGATTCCAGCGAGAAAAAAGACCTAATCTCACAACTCCGTTCTCTAAAATATAGAGATTAAGACAAAGTTGGTTCAAATACAAGAAAATATCCAAAAAAGAGAAGCAATAAGGGAAAGAAAACTAATAAAAAAAGCAAACTCACCCAGACCAACATAGGACCTCAGCCCAATTTCTGTGCTCCTCAGACCAGAAACTTCAAGTCCTCGCTACTTCTCTTTCAAAATTTAGGGCAAATATACATTTACAACATACTTTATAGAAGCAGAAGGGTGAGACCAGCGAGACATACAATCAAACCCATTTAGCCTCAGAATAATTTACATCTTTATGCCTCCTATGAATAGCACTGACTATAAGTCAAATAAATTTCACAATGATGCATACTTAAACAAAAGAAGGGTTCTGTACCACAAAGCTATTTAAGATTACACACACACACACACACACACACACACTCTCATACACTCTCTCTCTCCCTCCCTCCCCCAGACAGGAAGACCTCTATGAGTGTTATATTCCTTCCCTTAGGAAAACTTTTCTTCAGTCTGCTTATTTCAGTATTGGCCATCCTGAAGCAAAAGTCTTGGGTGTTTTGGCAGGGTGTTTGTAAGATAACATCACAACCAGAATCTGCAGTTCTCATGGGGATTGTGATAAAGAACATTTCCTTAAACCATTTCACCCATCAAAAAGCACCAAATCAAACACAAAAATGAAGTTTTCATGCTATTTGCATCTCTTCCTCTTCTCCTTATTTACGTAATGGAAGCCTTATGATAAATTAGGGAATGAGACTGGGCAGCTCAAATTCAAAACCCCCAAACCTCCCAATGGCCTTGTCTATGAAAACAAACTTCCTTCACATTAAGACCAAACACAAAACTTTTTGAAAGGAGCTGGCCATTTATAAACAATTTTTTTTTTTAAGTAGACACCACGCCCAGCATGGAACCCAACACGGGGCTCGAACTCATGATCCTGAGACCAAGACCTCAGTCGGTCACTTAACCGACTGAGCCACTGAACCAAGAATGACTGGCAATACGAAGTCCAAAAATATGTAAAGAAAAAAAGTATAATAAAAAGACTGCTCTGGGGCACCTGGGTGGCTCAGATGGTTAAGTGTCTGCCTTCGGCTCAAGTCATGATCCTAGTAGGGTCCTGGGATCGAGCCCCACGTCTGGCTCCTAGCTCAGCAGGGAGGCTGCTTCTCCCTCTGCCTCTCCCCCTGCTCAGGTTCTCTCTTTCTGTATCTCGCTGTCTCAAATGAATAAATAAAATCTTAAAAAAAAAAAAAAAAAGACTGCTATAATCAAATGAAGAGAATCATGAACTTTTCTCCAAACTGCCTTATAAGCCTGCTAGTGGGCAAAGAAAGAAAGAGTAAGACACTTAAATGCTCTAACCCTCTGCCCCCCCCCCTTAAAATCCCCATCTTTAGCTTCATTAAAGCAGAGAGGCAACTTCCAGATATTGCTAAGGCATTAACACTCTCACGAATTTCCAACAAAGTCTCTTTTTATAATTAGACACCAACGCTTAATTCTGCCACATTTTCAATCCCATCTTTCCAAAATGCTCAACAGCCATTAAAATGGGATATATGCAGCAAGGGTAAAAAGGCTTTTAGAAGTAACAATGAAGGATGTTTCAGGCTAGAGTCTTGGACCAGTTTATGGGGAAATGACCTATGAGAAAATGAGAAGCTGAATTTTATTTAAGGCTTAACAACTGAAAGACAAATTAAAGTGTAGCAGCAGGAAAAACCAAACATCAGGAGTCATTTATCAGTTTAAGTCCTGAGATGGGTTACCCACTGACCCTCAAATGTGGACTAACCGTGGCCCATTTCCGTCTGGGCGTAGGTGCCAATTATCTGGAGTCCTTTGGATGAAAGCAGCCATTTCTCTTGCTGAGCAGTGGTGCCCTGATTCAGCAAGGTAGGAATAAACATGGAGAAATTGAGGCCCACAGGTTCCACAAAATTGACCAAATGCACTCTACAGGAGAGAAAAGAAAACGATCTCAGCCTTACTCTAGAAACTGCATTCTACCACCCATTCTTGCCAGACAACCATGGCCCTCAGGATTGAGGCTGGGAAAATTTCAACCCTTTTCTTAAGAAATTAAATGTAAAATTTACCATTTTCCCACCTAAAAGATCAATTCCAGTGTTATCTACTCCCTCCCTGCCCAAGTCATTTCAGGGCCAGAATTCTTTAATTCTACACTTCATCCAGGAAGCAAATTCTACCCAAGTTTTAGCCTAAAAATCCCTTTTGTTTTTTTGTTTTTGTTGGTGTCATCTGTTGGTTTTATTGGATTCTTTGGAGTGTGTGTTTGCTTTATTTTCAAGTTTTACTTGTTTTGAAAATCAAAAGGAACTCCATAGAACATTTGTAGAGCTGCTAACAAAAGCTTCTAAAGAATGGTTTAATTTTTCCCTAAATAACCAAAGCAAACATCCAGGATAGTAAATACATATTTCAGGGCCAAACCACAGATCTCTAAAGGTCTTCAGAGTTTACAGGTGGGGAAGTAGAAATGTGAGAATGTTAAACATTTATCTCTGATGGTCTTGATATTCACTCCAGTTTAAGGGAATTCCAATCACACTGAAATTCTGTCTTCAACTATTTTCTCGTAAAACACAATCTGTGAAATAGTCAAAATACAAATCACATACACTAGTCAGCCCTGGCTACACTGTTAAAGATCTTAGGGGTGTCTATTTTGTTCTATCTATATATATAAAGAGCTCAAAGTACAAAGTAAGTATCACCTAACTGGTCTTCATGACTCCTCAAGGAATGAGGAGGAAGCAGTGTCACCAGTTTATCTTGGTCTGTCCAGTGAGCACAGCCTGAATTAAAAGAAAGGGGAAAGGCTGCCAATTCACTTTTGGGGAGGTCCTAAAACCAATCCTACCACCTTTAGGTTCGAAGATCACTTTTCAGGGGTGCTTGGGGCAGACTGAACCATCTAAGGAATGCCTGCATCCAAGGAACATAAAAAAATGCCTTTTTAACCCGGAGGTTCCATAATTTTTACACCAATATCGAATATCAATTTAAACTGAATGGAGGGAGCAACAAGAAAAAGGAGGGGTATGAACAGAAGAAGTTAGCTTCCAAGTAACTTGGATCAACAGGAGTTTACTGCTGCTGGACGGTAGAGAAGTGACGCCCCGCCTCACCGAAGTGGGAGTCAAAGGCCTGATGAGGAAGATAAATGTGGATATCATTCACTCAAAGGCAAGAGCCCTACAGCATTCCCTAACAATTATATTTTACTAAAATAGGAAACGAACTTACAAGAGTTTCTGAGGAAGAGAAGTAGTAGTTTAGGTATCAAAAATGGTGGCAACATAAGACACTCCTATTCCCCGGAAGGGAAGTGAGGAGGCTGTGGGGTTATTTGAAATAATGATCATGACACAATATAATTCTAGGAAACTCAGAGGGAAAAATAGGTGACACAAAGACTGTCGAATGTTTATGTTAATAAACATACTGAGATTCTTTCGAGTTCAAAAGAATTTGAGAATTTGAGAGTTTGAAAATCAACTCATGCACAAAATCTCAGTCCTTGTTTTTAAATTATGTTTAATCCCTCCTGAAGATGCTTTTCAAGGAATCAGCTTTAAAAACCGAAGGAGAGTAACAAAAACCATGGCTGATCCTCATTAGAATTTTAAATTACTCTTAAGAACACTTCACAGTTTTCTTTTCATAGTAAACAGGAGAGTTAAAAGACAAAAATTACAGAAGAGGAGATTAGGAAAACAACTTTTACATTCCCCAAACAGCAAGGGTTTTTTTTGCCAAGGCCTGGAGAGAACAGTTCTTTGCTCAAGTTGAGAAATCTCAAAGTATCTTACTAATATTCCATCGACTTCAAGACAGTCCCATATATGAATTTTGAGATAGGAGAAATAATTGTAAAGAAACCAGTAAATGCTCAAAATCCCCTGAAAGAGAAATATTACTATATTTCATCTGTCTGGCATCACCCCCCCCAACTTAGCATTTAAGAAATCAGGTGCATCTCACAAATAACGGGAGGTCATAGTTAACTGGCAGCACTTTTTCTTTCTTAGTGGTACATGAAACTCAGGTGTGAGCTACCAATGACGGTGGGCTTGGATTCAATGGCATTCAGTAACTGCCAAGACTAATTTTCAATCCCCTTCTCTCTCTCACATAAATTGATCTCCCTGTCCTATCCTAGGGATACTGGAAGGATGTCAAAGGTGTGTTAAACTTTGTACTCTAGGGGCACCCAGGTGGCTCAGTCATTAAGCGGCTGCCTTTGGCTCAGGTCATGATCCCAGGGTCCTGGGATCAAGCCCTGCATGAAGCCTGCTTCTCCCTCTCTCTCTGCCTGCTGCTCCCCCTATGTGCTCTCTCTCTCTCTCTCTCTGCGTCAAATAAATATGTAAAATCTTTAAAAAACAAAACAAAACAAAACAAAAAACCTTGGTACTCTATATTCCCCAAACAGCAAGGTTTGTATCATAAAAAATGACAGGCAAAACAACTGGCTCATGTCCTCTGCTCTTTAACCCACATAAAGGAATTTGCTCTATTTCATTGCGACTTCACTCAACTCTGCTTACACTCCATGAACCACCACTGATTATGAAATCTAATCAATTCTGAAACATACTGCATCAACTACTTAAAAGTAAAACAAAACAAATCTCTTTTTTTTGGGTTGTTTAAAAAAGGATAAAATCTTCCATTTTTGAAGTTTACCTAAAACCCAACTCAGGTGATTCAGAAACATAATCTTCTAGGAGGTACTCTACCTCAATATCCCCACAGCTTTGAGTTACAAATTTCAAAAGTAAAAAAGAACACTTGGAAGTTGGTAAATACTTTGATTTGGGCTACTAAAAATAAGTAAGTCATAATTTTATGACTAAAAGGGAAAGGAATTCTCAGGACAGTCCTAAGGACCAGAATAAATTATTTCATCCTCAACAATAGTAACCAGGTCAGACTGAAAAAATTAGATACCAAACGTTTTAGAGGCAGTAGAATAAAGGAGAAATTTCCATCACTACATAAATGCAGAACTTGTAGCTTTACATGTTCCCTTTTTCTTGGCTCTTGAATACACACCATTCGTATCATTTAATCTTTATTGATGAAAATAATGGAATTCTTCTAAAATGTTGAAACCCCCCAAAAAAGGAAGTGCCCAGAAATGAATGAGAAGTGTAAGAGAGCATACAGGCCAAAGAAATCTTGTACTCAGATCATGTAATTAGAGTGTTCATTCAGATAAAGGCAAAAAAAAAAAAAGTGCTTACTTTTATTTCTAATTAAGAAACAGAACAAAACAAAAAAACAGATGGTCTGGAAAAAGAAAAAGTACAGACTCTTTCCAGCACTAGTACCAAGGCCTGATTTTAGGAGGCCTCATATGCCGGAGAGCCATTTAAATAACACTGCCACCAGATTCAAGAATGCTAGGTTCTTAAAATATTTTCTATTCACTCTGAAGTTTGACTCATGTTCTTCATCTACCCCACATTGTCCATTGTCCATCAGTTTAAACTCAAGATCTACACTCTCATATGGAAATATAATCTGTGGGGCACCTGGGTGGCTCAGTCGTTAAACGTCTGCCTTCAGCTCAGGTCATGATCCCAGGGTCCTGGGATCGAGCCCCGCATCAAGCTCCCTGCTCAGCGGGAAGCCTGCTTCTCCCTCTCCCACTCCCCCTGCTTGTGTTCCCTCTCTCGCTGTGGGTGTCTCTCTGTCAAATAAATAAATAAAATCTTAAAAAAAAAAGGAAATACAATCTGTTATTGCTCCAAAATATTGTTTGGTCTTGCAACCAAAAATCGAATTCAGCCTCTCAATTTAGCAAACCTCCTTGTTACAAAGAGCAAAGGCATTTTGCAATTTAAATCACTCTACACTGAGATGTCTGGGCCAAAGGAGTTAGTAGGTACAGATTCCTGAGAATGAAAACTGCAGCCTCTCCATTCATGCTCAGCATTCTACAAACGTCATCCCTTTAAAAGACTTAAATACAAAAGTAAACACTAGTTTTCACACACATCACTGGTAAGTGGGGTGAAAATAAGCAGTCTGAGTCTTCCAACGCCGAGCACGATGAAAAAGGACACCACGGGCTGCGCGTTTAAATTAAGGTTTGGGCTTGGGCACTTAATCTAGGCTAAGGCATACCTACTTTTTAAACCACATGATTTCCTCTGGGTCCGCGATGCCAAACTCCCTCATCTTCTTCACCATGTTGGCACTCTTCCTAACAGCCACCTCGTAACGCTGGCTGCGAGTGAGGAAATTCAAGTCCTCGTGCTGGAAGTCTGGGTCATTCAGGATCAGGTTCTCTGCAAGGGAGCGAGAGGGCATCAAGAGGAAGACAGAAAGTCAGGGCTCTGTGACACCTCCTTGAATCCCAGCGGGTTTTCGGAGCGCGGGCTCGGGAGGGACGACACCCCTCACCCCTCCACAGGCCGGCCCTGGGACTGGGGGTCCCGGCTTCCCCAAAGCTGAGCCAGGCGCTGCGGCCCAGGCTCCACAGCGCCCCCGCGACGCCTCATCGAGCGAGTCCAGAGCCGCGCTCGGGGAAGGAGGGAGGCCCGGCCCCGCCGCCCTCACCGATCTCTCGGCGGCGCCGGGTGTTCTCGGGGCTGCCGTCCAGGACGTGAGTGAGCAGCTCCGGGTTGAAGCTGGCGGCTGCCCGCTCCCTGCGAAGATCTTGGTTCATGGTGGCGACACGCAGCGGCGGTGGCGGCCCGGGTCAAAACGGCGGCGGCAGCGTCGGCGACGGGTGTCCGCAGCTCCAGCGCGGGTCGGACCCTGAAAGCAGCCCCAAGACGGCGCGAGGCCCCGCCCCCGCTCGCCTCGGCCCGCCCCGGCCCGCCCCTTCTCCTTCACCGCGGCCGGTGGGCGCGCTAGCGACCGCGGCGGAGGCGGAGCGGCGCCGGCGCGGGCGTGGTGACCGTACGCGGCTGCGGGGCGGGCGAGTCCTCCGCTCTCGTCCAGGGGCGTCCTAGAGCGGCCCCCCCGCGGGAGGCAACCCGGGAAGACCGTCAAGAAATTGCCCCGGGGGCGGGGAGGGAGGAAAGCCAGGCGCTCCTGGTAACCCGCCCCTCCCTCGTCACGCGATCGCGCGAGGCGGAAAGAGGGAACCCGAAGCTGCCGCGACGCCCCGATAGGTTGGCGAGGAGGTAGGGAAGGGGCGGGACAACGCGGCTGAGGAGGATTGCGCCTGCGCCTTGGGACGTGTCGGTCCCGCCGCTTCCGGGTCCGCCTGTAGAGGCCTCCCGAGGGCTGAAGGTCGTTGGTGGGGGCCGGGGGTGGGGTGGTTTGAACTTCTGGGCCGCGCGGCGCTGCTGGGGAGGGTTGTCGTAGGGTTTCCCCAGACCCTCCCAAATTGGAGAAAAAAAGGAGGAGGACGAAAGTCGCCGGGGAAGAGGCCTTCAGTAATCTTTTGTTCAGATAATGGCATCCTTGCTGCCAGAAGCATTGGCTTCGGGGAGCTGGGTGTGGGATTGCGGGCCCTCCTCCCCATTAATGGGGTGGGTGTGGACCAGAATGTGGCCGAGCTGGCCGTTTAGAAGTCTTGGAATCCAGACTTTTTTTGCTTTCACAGTTATCACCACCGTCGTCGTTAAAGTTATAGATGTCCATGTTTAGGAAACCTAGTATCGGAAAATTTGTAATAAAAAGCAAGAGCTCCCCATCCTCAGAGGCAGCCACTTTTAACCAGTTGTGTTTTTAATTCTGATTACATAAAATACATGCTAGCTCTTGCTTTAGTTACCTTTTGACTTAATACTTAATGAAGATAGAGCACACTACACCATCTCCTTTATCTCTCCCTAATATACCCTTACAACTTCAAACAACATATGAATCCACATAAAAAATCCACAGATTTTTTAAAACTGTGCACTTCATACTCTGTTATTTATTGCATCAGTTTTTAGTAACAGTACCGGGAAAACGGTAAGGTAAATGAGGCATTCACCTCCGATATAATTTAAGGGAGCACTAATCAAGATTAATAAAGACAAGATCATTATTACTGATTTTTCCTTTTGCCCCAAACTCCAATATATCAGGGCAAGGCACTGTTACTGATTATGTTTTTCATGCTCCCCGGCGTTAAAATACTTAGTTTGGCTGCTGTGTTTGGATTGTAGTCCTCTTGTCAAAAGCCCCCTCTCCAGATACCACAACACAACATCATAAGACGAAGGTGAGGTGATTGCTTACTCAGGTAAGGACAAACACTACTTGGCAAACCTTTGGCAGTGTCTAGGAGAAGGTAAGGCCAGAATTTATTGAGAGTTGGAAGTTTAGTCTAAGGCGTGTCTTTCATTTCAGGACTGGGTAAGAACCCCTGTACAACAGTAGAAAATTGGTGGAAACGTCAAGGCGAGGGAATTCAGATAACCTCAGAAGGCAAACTGGCTGTTAATGGTTAAACCATTTGCCTGGGCTGGACAGTCAAGAAGAGTTAAAAAAAAAAAAAATGCTAATGAAGGCATAGGACCACAAAGTTCTGTTAATGTAGGCAGTAAGATGTGGTTTGGGTTCTCTGTGTCCAGGTTGAGTGTAGGGGTAGATGATCTTCATGAATACATTCTATTCAATAAATATTTCATAATGCCCAGACATGGTTTTAGGCACAGGGGATACTGTGAGGAATAATGCCCTCATGGAGCTGATAATCTAGTGGGAGACAGGCATTAAAGAAGTAAACAAATCACACTCTGAAATTCTATTACTTAGTAAACTACAATGAAGAAAATAAATCAAGCTAAGGGGATAGAGGGACTGGGGGTGGTGGAGAATGCTAATTTAGATAGGGTGAACAGGGAAGGCCTTGCTGAGGAGTCGGAGGATGAACTGAGACCTAAATAGGGAAAGAGAACCAGTTATGTGAAGGTCTGGGGAAGACTGCTCAAGTCTGAGGAAGAGCAAGTATGCAGGTCCTGAGGGTGAGCGTGAGCTAGAGGAGGTGTGATGGCAAACGTCAGAGCCGAGAGGTAGGCCAGGTGCAGACCCCATGTGGCACTGTGGGACAACACAAAGACTTTAAATTTTAATAGGAATTTATAATAGGAAGCCTTTAATTGATTTTCAGTGGGGTTTTGTGACTTGATTTACATTTTTAAATATTAATTGTGGAACTGTTCAAACATGTACAAAGGTAGAAGGAATAATAAAATAAACATCTACTTTTCACCCAGGTCCAATAATTATCCACTGTACCTTCACCCAATTCCCCTCCATGTTAACTTAAAGCAAATCGGATATCATATCCATAAAGACTTTTAGTATGTATCTTTAAACTATTTTTAACACAATCCCAATACCATTATCACAATTGGAAATATTAACAAAAATGTCTTGTGGTCATTACAATCGATATTCAAATGTTTCATAAAAAATTGTCTACAGTTAGTTAGTTCAAATCAGGGTCCAAACAAATTCTGCACATTGCAGTTGGTTGATAAGAATCTTAAGTCTCTTTTAATGTATAGGTTTCCACTGTACAATTTTTTTCTTCAACTTATTTGTTGAAAAAGCTAGGTCAAGTGGCACCTGGGTGGCTTAGGTCTTGATCTCAGGGTCACACCTAGTGTGACCTTAAAAAAAAAGAAAGAAAGAAACAGAAGAAAAAGGTAGGTCATTTTTCGCATTGAATTTCCCACAATCTGGATTTTACCATCTCTGTGATGTCTTTGATTTGTTCCTCGGTTTCTGTATTTTCTGTAAGCTGTTGGTTGTATCTAGAGGCATTGTTAGATTCAGACTTGAGGTTCTGGCAGAAAGTACTCCCTGTGGCATAGTTTCCATTTTAAAATATCACTGTGGTTGTTCTGAAAAGAGTGAGCAATAGAAGGAAAATAGTGGAAACAGACCAGTTTCAAAGCTAATGAAAGCTTGGACTGTGGAGGGAGTGAAGTGCATAAATTCAATATGAATTTTTTTTTTTTTTTATTTGCGAGAGAGAGAATGAGAGAGAGCACGAGAGGGAGGAGGGTCAGAGGGAGAAGCAGACTCCCCGCT